CGAAATCTCTCTTGCCTGGCTCTTAACACGTACTCCATTTTATGCAAGTTAAGAGTTAGTCCATCAACTTTAGCAGAGACTTTTGGCATTCTAACACTGCACCGGACAGCCAGATCCTTTCAACAAGACAGTGGCAATAGATAATTATTAGGAAAGGATATACTTTGCTCCTGATGAGCTTCAGGTTCCAATTATTTAGGTCAACATTCTATCCCACAATGGTGGCAAAAAATGATGGGTATAATAATGAAATTCATCTTATGTGCAAAACTCCACAGTAAGGGTTTATAGAATGAATGCCAAATGTTAATCAACAAGACACAATAGGCAAGGCTTGGAGTGTATGAAAACTCTTAAGTCTTCATAGACTCTGCTGAGTAAAAATGGGCTTGGCCTGCTGCCAAGGTGACAAGACTCACATCATCTGTACCACAATCATACATTAGCCTGCCAGACCTAGTCAGCTTCAGCTTTCGGTCTGGCCCTCAGGCTAGCAAACTCAGAGTGAAATTTGAGGGAGGATCAGATCAGCTCATACATACTCAAAACAAATGTTATGCATTGTTATCTTCCACCTGCTTATTATTTGCCTGCACATGTATTCTTCCATTCTCTCAGGGGAAATGCAACAGAGCATGGCATCTGATGTCCAGAGGGTAATGGAGAACAGGGATCCTAAAGCTGTGATCATTTATACTGTGATCATATCTTAAGATCCATACAAAAGGAATTTTAACCACTTGAGGAGACAGAGACCTGTACACTTAAGCCTACACAACGTACATATGTCAGCACTTTATATTATCTATTAACGTACTACTAGTATGATGTTAACTAATCAATCAATGCTACAAAATACAGTAATCTCAAACCAATATTGTAACTAAACCTGTGTCGTCTACCTACAAGTATTTTTATACAGGTATAAATACTGTTTGAATAGAAATGTTATACATGTGAACAGATTTCAGCGCTTTTGTAGTTATTTCAATAAATCTAGTTATTTACTAAAAGTTTATCTTTATCCCTTCTTTGCTCTATCTCTAACTTCTCCAATTTCTTTCCTATACTTTCTGAACCAGATTCCAACTCAAACAATAATAACTTTTACTGTTTCCTGCAAAATTCATTTCAGATGTTGAAACCAAGATTTTGAAGGTCTATAATATATTTTCATTCAATAATATATTTGCTATCCCTAAGAAGATATTCTAGTTCAGGAATCTAATCACCCTGGACCAAGAGCCATAAGGTAAGTTTTTAAAAAAAGAAGAATTTCCGGAATGGAAAACCTATGCTCTCGTATATATGTCACTATTGCTAATCTCAAACCTGAATAAAAGGGGATAAAAGTGTTCTAGTAGATGGAAAAGAAGGATAGGTCAACCATAAATCTATCATCAT